CACTAGCCCAGGTGCCTCTGTACCAGCTGTCCCTAGTCCCTTCTGTGTGTTCAAGGATGGTGAAGCTCCTTCAGGTAGTGGCCTTTGAGGGCTGTTGAATGCCTGCTCTCTACAGTATCCTGGCTATGATGGACTTGGGTAGGCTCTTTAGTCTCCTGAGCACAGCTCTTGTTTTGGCAGGTGGCATAGTGAGGCAGGAAAGACAGTTGCACTGAACTCTGCCACAGTCCTGGAAGTGAGCCCATGTTCCCAACCTCAGGGCTCTCCTTAAGTGTCATCATTTTCATTTCTATTCTTGTTTGTGCTTTTCTCATTTACAAGGTTGCTTCCCTCCTGGGACAGTCTGTGCCTCCATTTTACTGTCCTTTGTAAAACTCCTTTGTTCTTGTCTCCCCTCCTTGCTCTTGGTGATTGAAGATAGAAGCAGCCCTTGGTGGCTGGTTCCCAACCTTAACATAAAAACACCTTAAACTTTGCCACACACATTATCAGGGAGATGATTAATAGGGCCAAAAGGGTGCCCCTTGCCAACTCTTCATAGATCCAAAGGCAGATGTGATTGAGGTGCACCATCTGATATCTCACCACATAGTCCCCTTCTGTATGAGGAGACTTAGGCCTCCTGTGATGGGTATGATGTGTCTACAGGACTTCTTGTAAAACGATTGAACACAGACTAAAAGGTGCTAGAAGATATGTAAATTTATATTCTGTTCATGTCCATTTCCTGTTCATTTTACATTTTGCTGAAGCAAAATAAGGCTCAGAGTACATGGTGTAACAGCCAGTGACCTCCAGGACAGAGTGCTGTCCTATGCTCATGCCTGGCTTTGTAATCATGACCTTTATGTCCTTAGAGGCTACTACCCAGGCTCCCAGAACCTGATCCTGAGGCTCAGGTGGGTGGGAAACTAAGCAGGCTGCTGCTGTATGGCAGAGCTGTCTCCCTTGTCTGTTTGTCTCCACTGTCCCTTCTCTAGACTCTGGTGACATTTTTCCTGGTCCCTTCTCTTTAGTAGGAGTAGTCCCTTGCTGCTGAGGTCACCCTGGATGTTTGTTTCACAGTGACTAGTGCCATTGTGTTCAAGTGGCTGCCTACAATGCCAGCCTCAGCTGCAGTCAGCTTCTTCAGGTCTTCTGTCTTTGTCTGCCTTGATGTCTCATCACCACTGCTGGGGAAGCAGAGGAAGGTGCATTGAAAAAAGATCTCATTATGTAGCCCAGGCTGGTCTCAAACTATACTGTCTCTTAAATGTTAGGTCTATAGATATGAAGTACCATCAGCTACCACTGCATTTTTTATGTTATTTATTTACATTCCAAATGTTGCCCCCCTTTTTGGTCCCCCCCCCCGAGTTCTTCACCCTGCCCCCCTCCCTTTTGCCTCTGAGAGGATACTCCCCCACTCACCCAACCCCCACTTCCTAATATCTACCTTCCCTGGGACAGCAAGTCTCTACAGGATTAGGCACATCCTCTCCCACTGAGGCCGTAGAAGGCAATCTGCTACATATGCACCAGGGTTCGTGGGCCAGCCCATATATGTTCTCTGGTTGGTGGCTTAGTCTCTGGGAGCTCTGAGGGGTTCAGGCTAGTTGAGCTAGTTAATACTCTTGTTCTTCCTATGGGGTTGCCATCCCCTTCAACTCCTTCAATCCTTCCCCTAATTCTCCCATAGGGGTCCCCAACTTCAGTCCAATAGGTGTAAGTGTCTGCATCTATCTTAGTTGCTAGTAGAGCCTCTCAGAGGACAACCATGCTAGGTTCCTATCTGCAAGTACAACATGGCATCAGTAATAGTGTCAGGGTTTGGTGCCTGCACATGGGATGGATACCAAGTTGGGCCAGTCACTTGATGGCCTTTCCTTCATTTTAGTGCTAGGTTTGCAAGCCAGCCATGGGGAACTAACTCTAGGGGAAGTGTCACTGTATCACATGATGAAGATGCAGGAAATATTGCTAAATGAGTAATATTCATAGATCATTAGCCATTTCAAATAGTTATATTTGATACACAAATAAAATATTTCTCATATTAAAGCCCAAAAGAGGTGTCATATCTAAGGTCTTTTGTGTACTTGGCATGGTTCTGAACCCTGTGTCTATTATCCAACCCTAGTTTTCTCTTAAAACTCCCAATCTATAGATCCCCTTTTCTGGATAAAGATCTTAGAACTTGGAACAGTAATAGCTAATAGGAATCAACACCAGGACTAGAACTCAAGACCCCAGGATTCCCTGAACCTATAGGTCATGTGCTGTCTGTCCTCCCTCAGGTGAAGTGGAATATGGGGAATGGGTAAGGCTCGCCTAGCGGTTCAGGTGGCTCCTGGTTAGTTAGACCAAAGCCATGGCCTGTCTATACACAAGCAGTTGGTAACCTTCAGTCTTACAGGCCTTAATCAACTGAGGACCCAAGAGGTACTCCTAAATAATAGTGACCTTCACTATTTTTATTGGAGAGCTTCCAAGAACAGTCCCCTCAAAATCTAGGAAAGATATCGAACCTGTATCATGGTTGTATTTGACTCTGGTGGGAGGTTTGCAGAGGCTGGTGAAAAGGTACGTGGTGATTGCTTGTCTTTGATGTGCTCCTCAAACTTGGAAAGCCCATAGCACAAAGTCTAAAGAGACCTGTTAGAGCTGGTAACACCATGAGGAGTCAGTAGACCACTCTTGTTTTGTTTTGTTGTCGTTGTCGTTGTTGTTTTGTCTTGTTTGTTTTGTTAAACAGGAGGAAGATAGTGGGGAAAAGAGATGGTAATGATAGTAACAAGCGAATCATCCCAGGCTAGTGCCAAGTCCAGGTAGAGTAAGGCCTACCAGATTTTTGGCAGGAAACATTGAAGACATATTGTCATATTTTGCTCGGTTCCTTTAAAAATCTCAAATTTCAACAACTTTTTTTAAAAAGTTAAAACTCCACCTGTCAGCTTTAAATTCATTGGGAAAGATAAATACTGAAGCCATCCAGGTAGGCAATGCTCAACAAGCCTGAGCACCTGCTTAGCAGGGCAGTGGCCAGCATGACTGGGCTTGGCCACTCTAGAAACATGTAGATTCCTGACACTCTTAATCTTGCAACTTTGCGCAGTAGCTAGAGAATTAAAGCCAAAGTTAAACAATATGTACTAGATAGACACCATTTCAATAGTGTCTGCTCTTGAAACTAAAAAGCTATCTTAACCCTCTGATTCTGCAAAGTTATATTTTTGACATGTGTTAGTGTTTGTTGTAATTACAAAAACTAAAGGCAGCCTTTTGTCAGAATAAGCACCCCTTACTCTTCTGACTTGATGCCTGCCCTTGCTGCTTGGCCTTCCTAGCTGTTATTTCCTCCACACTGAGTGAGTTCCATCAGCAACTAAGGGTGGTGGTGAACGTATATTTAAGACTCATGGGCATTGTATTTTTAAAAATTTAATTAACAGAGATCTGTGCTTTTTATCCTCTCTATAAGTGATCATTAAATACAGACAGGGGAAAAAAATACAGGGAGTGAAAAGTCATTCCCAGTCATTTTGAAATGTATTTTCAATACAACTCGGCTTTTTAATAGGACTGTCAATGCTTGTGCCAGGCATTCTTATAATCCTAGTACTCAGGAAGCTGAGGCAGGAGAATCACAAGTTTAAAACCAATAATAAGTAAGACCCTCTGTATGTATATAAGAAGTTGCCATTCTCTGGGGAGCTCCCTTGCATCTGATGCTACATCTGCCATCTTGTGATTTGGTTTGCGTGACTAGTTATTGTAATAGTGTCTCAATTTTAGCTTGTAGACTGAAAACTTCAAAACACAAAATTTCAGCCATGTTCATATTTTTTGTCAAGGAAGCATGCTTGGTTAATAAGAAACTTAAACACATAAGACTTCACACATATATAGTTCTCTATCTGGTGAGATAGTGTTCAAGAAGAAGGAGAAAGCTTCCTGCTATGTCTGGCCCTGGGCACTGTCTTGCAGTAACCCAACACCAACCCTGCTCTGCTGAGAACAGAGCAGTTAGGCAGGAAAATTGGGTACAGACCATCAGGGTCTCTGGACAGAGACCCCAGCAGGTAGTGGATCCACCTCTCCCTGCAGTGAGGGAGCTCAGTCTCTGTTCCTAACATGGGCCCTCCTCACCTTGTCTATCAGCCTGGTTAATCTTTGCACTTTAAGAAAGAGTTCCTCCTGCCAACCAGAGAGCACATGTGTAACAGTTGTGCAGCTGGGTTGTTATGTGGGACTCCTAAAGCCTGAGCACGGGCTGTTTCTGACTACATTGCCTGCCCTTGGATCCCTTTCCCCTATCTGGGCTGCCTTGTCCAGCTTCAATGAAGATGAGCCTGGTCTTACTGAAACTTGATACGGGAAGGCTGGTTGATAACCTTGAGAGGCTTCCCCTTTTCTGAAAAGGGGAGGAGGATGTGGGGGAGGGGGGATAAGAGGGAGTGACTAGGAGAAGAGGGAGGGGAAGTAAATAACAATTAAAAAGAGTTTCTCAGTCCCCACCTACCCTGAAAGAAGGCAGGCTGTAGGTGGGGAGAGGCAGAGGGAAGCCCTGAGCCTCTGGCTCCAGGGTGTCAAACATGAGCACAGCACGCTTGGATGCCAGCAGCTCCCTAGCAGCCATGGGCCTTACAGGGGGCAGGTAGTCAAACCTGCTGCAACTAGGAGGCTGGTCTTTGAGGCAGAGCCAGCTACTGTGGTCTCCCTCCTCCCAGGAGCTGTGGGAGTTTAGGGAGGAGACAGGACTTGACCCTCAGAAGAACACCTTGAGTCAGGTCTGTCAGGCACAAGGACTTACAATAGGTTTTCTAAGTTTTCCACTAAAGTCTTAGGTTTGTCTGTTTTACCTCTTTCTTGCCTCATGAAAATTTCTTTGGAACAATTTTCAAGTGAGCTTAGCTGTGTGGGATGATGGGAACCATGAAGGCTCTTCCTCCAGTCCTCAGTTAGGGCTGAGCCCAGAGAAGCACGTGTTAGATGTGCCATTTTTATCTGCTTTGTTTTAGGAGCCTCTGACTCTGCTCACAGGAAAACAAAAGGTGGCACGGTCAACCCTCCTCATGCCCACTCAGGCCAGCACAGTTGTTTTTGTGGAACTCTAATGGTACCCAGTGGAAGTCTGCCAGTGCCAGCCCCTGCCGCTGGGTTGCAGTGTGTCCAGATCCCTGTTCTGCAGGTAGGCACCAGCCATGTGAATGTTGAGGTCTACAGGGGCAGGATGGTGGAGGGGTGGCCTCTGCCCTCTCAGTAAACTTCCTCAAGTCCTGTGTCCTGTCCCAGCCATCTTAATAACCCCAGCCTCTCTCTTCTTCCCAGCCTGTCTCACTGCATCTGTGCAAGCCCTTGCCTTTGTTAGGACTGACGTATCAGGTTTGTGGCTGTGTTACCCTGTGTCTAGTCCCCTCAATCTGGTCCATCTTCCCCACCTCCCTTGGAGGTGCACATGGCGGCATATGCCTCTGCCTGGAACCTTCTTTGTGCAGGTCAGAGGCATCTGAGATGCCCAAGGTGCCCATGTGGAAGCCTCACAGCTGCTGGTGCTCACACTGCTCCACCCCTCCCCAGAGCCTCCTATAAGCTCTCCTTAGACTGTTCAGGCCTTGCTTCGGGGCAACAGTTTCTGCACACCAGCTAATGCAGGCTTTCATGTGAAAATGGCAGGGCCTGTTTGATTTTTCTGTGTCCTTTCTCACTGGTCACTGAAGAAGGCTTAGCCATCTCTTTGGAGGCTCAGCAGACCGGCATCTGACAGCCCGTCTGTGGGAGGTCACTGTCAAGTCACTTAGCAGCCCCATACACACCTGCACTCCTAGGTTTCCCTCTGAGGAGGTGGAATGGGAGAAGGAAGAGGTTTGGAAGCTGAGGAATCTGGGTCACACCTACATATTGTACACCACTTGAAGGTATAGATGAAACTTCAGCAGGCCAATGGACACCTAGATGTCAGAGACTAAAGGTAGAGCTGTTCCTGTTTCTTCGGAGACCTTAGAGAACAGGCAAGATCCATCTTGGAGAGAACCATGAAGGAAGAGGTGGGGCTGGGAGTAGAAGTTTGTGAAGGGCTTGCAGGGCTCAGATAATGGGGGACAGGTGGCAAAGGGCAAAGGGTAACCTGGGAGGCAAGCTGTAAAAGGGTTCTAGATCAAGCAAAAAAAAAAAAAAGATGCAGGTGACAGTTTGGAGGACAGAGACTCAGGCTTGTGTATGAAAGGAGCTGAAAATCATGTTCCGCCCTCCTAGTTTGACCCAGTGGTAGAACAACATGGAACTGTGGAAGAGAGAAAGAATAAAGAATTCCCTAGAAATAGGGGCAGTGAAAGGAGTGGTAGGCCTGACCTGAAGTAGCACAATACAGTGTGCAGGTCAGCTTGTAGAGATCACTCCAGGACTAAGGCTGTGAAGAGACAATAGGAAAGCTGCCATCACAGGCAGAAAGAGCCACTGGAAAGAGCATGTACCTGAGTATGACACTTTCAGCTGTCCCTTGACAACTAGTGTTGTCTTGGGCAAGTGGCCTTATCCCCCGGCTTCAGTTCTATTGTCATGAGATGGAAACAGTAGTACTCAGAAGGTCCTTAAGGCAGTGGAAGGATGGAGTGCCAGAGCAAAGGGTGCTCTGTTTGGAGTAATAGGCAGCTGTAACTGAGTACACACTTGAGAAAGCAAAACCAATCTTTCCTGATTGGCTTATGGGGACCTGGTAGCCTCCTCATTTCCAGTTGCTGTCTGCTGTTAGATCTCTGGCCCATGGGTAAGCCAGGAACAGAGAGCTACTCCCCCCAGCCCCCGTGAGATTGAGAAGATATTCAGGCTTATGTGGAATTTAGGACATTGTAGGAGGAAAGGGACTAGGCACAATTTTTGAGTATTGAAATAATAAACATAGGGGAGCCAGGCAACAGAAGACTAAACTGAACCTTGGACTGAGCTCAAAGTGAGAGAGATGGAGGGACCATTGCTCCTGCTTCCTGATTACCAGTGTGTAATAATTCTTGATGTTGCCTCCCCAGGATGACCTCTCCAGTGAAGGAGGCTTACCACTGGCCCTCAGCCCACAGCGCTCTGCCTTCCACCCCTACTTCACCATGGATCTGCCTGTCTACGTCCTCCAGGTCTGGATGCCTACACTTCTTGCTCTTCTCAGTAGAACACTTCCCAGATTTCCCATGTCAAGAGGCTATGGCATGGTTAGCAGCTGCCACAGACTTGCCCAGGAGGCCCATTGGGTTAATGGTTACACTAGCCACTTTGCAATTCTTTGAAAAGGTAGTCAGGGTCACAACTTCAAATGAGGCTTGCTTGACACTGCAGTGTCTGCTTGTGGGCCGGATGAAACCTAGTGTACCTGGAACTACTGCACTCTGTGGTTCTAAGTTCCCGACAAATGAGCTACACCTAGATGAGCTCAGCGGCTGTGTGGGTGGGTAGGTAGTCACCAGTGCAGATCTAGGTGGAGATGAAAGTCATCTTTCAGACTGCCAGCCTACCTCAGAAATGTCTGTTCCACTGTTTAAAGCCCTCAGAAGACTTCCTAAAGAAAGGGAATCTGAGCCAGATGTCATAGACATAGTTGCACCCAGTAACCCAGACAAAGGCTGCGAATTTGAGGCCACTTGCCCACATAGCAAGGACCTGTCTCTAAAAACCAAAAGAAAAGGGGAGAAAAAGATACAGGGTGGTGGGAAGAGAGCAAGAGGCAGGGAGAGAGGAAGGGGAGATACAAACTACTAGAGACCCGAGACCTGCCCACTGTAGCGTGGAATCTACAGTGCCAAAGCAGGAGCACTGGATTTCAGCAGGAGAATGATGGGTATACAGCCGTGGCCATCTCCCTGGGCAGGCTGCCCACTGCATGCTGGGTATGAGAAAGGAAGAGCTGTTTTTTACAGAAAAGTACATGGGTGCTTGAACATGAATGGAACCATCAGTAGACCTGGAGAAAAATATCTGGAAAATATCATTGTCTTTAGTTCTTTTTAGTTCTTTTCATTTCTTTCCTCCTTCCTTCCTTCCTTCCTTCCTTCCTTCCTTCCTTCCTTCCTTCC